GACCTTGAAGAGCAGTCGCTCCTGGAGGGTCCCCCCTGGCTCTGCCTGTCTCCCTCCAGCCACCTCCCCGCAGGAGCCACCGCCTCCCAGCCCTGCCCGCCGGGCTGCCAGATCTCACACACACACACGGGCCCTTCGTTCCTTATCTGGGGCCACCCACTCCTCTCTGCTGCCTCTCCGGGGCCATGAGAGAGCCGCCCTGGGGGGCCTCCCCCTTACGCCGGCCGCCTCTCTGCACTTGGCCCTCCACCCGGCTCTTGCTGGAATGCTGACAAGGTGTTATCATCCTTCCTGTCGTCTGTCAGCACCGAGATGTCTCCTTGGGGACTCCAGCCTCCCCGCAGCCGCTGCCTGGGGATCTCCACGTGACTCATGATGTCGGGTGCCCTGGCTGACACCCCACTGTGTCAGCCCTGCTCATGGCCACATGCGGCCAAGTCCCGACCCTTCGAGGCTGCCCACCCCGCCCTCCAGGTCAGCCTCAGGAGCTCTGGCCCCCAGAGCCCGCGGCAGCTCCCCTGCCACACTCAGGGGACGGGGTGTCCACGGTCAAGGACACAGCTGTGTTTCGTCCCTTGGCTCCTCCCGGGCCAGTCCGCCTCGTGGCCTCTCGGGTGGAGGTGAGGCGTCCTCCCTGCCCCCGGGCTCCCTGCCCGACCTGCTCTCACCCCGGGCACGCCCCTGCACTAAACTGCTTGCTGACAGGCTCCTCTCACGCACGTGTCCACCGTGCCAAGGCAGGAGCAGAGAAACTGGAAGCCACTTGTCCCGAGAGGAACATTTAATCCCAAAGGCTGAGTGACAACAGGCAGCATAGGGCAACGCGTTCCAGGCCCGTGACCCTCCTGGCCCTTGGCTTCACATGACAGGAAAGCAAAGTGTGCCTCGCCTCAGCCGTCAGTGGGCATGTCCCAAATACTCACGGTGACTGGCGTGCCACAGGGAGGGCTGAGTCGCTGATTACCGGGGACACTGACCGTGAACCCTTTGCTGGTGGCAGACAAGCTCCAAGCACGACAGGGGTGTGGCCCGTGACGAGCACCTCGGGTGCCTGGCTGCTCCTCCCGCCTGTCCCCCGGCCGGTCCTCACAGTGGAGCCGGCCGAGCTCCCAGAGCAGGGCAGTTTGCACCCCGGCCGCGCCTGGCCCCTCAGAGGGGTCCCTGCATCCTTCACGAAGCCAGGACACCTGCCCCCAGCTGGTCTGGTCCGCCCACAGGCAGGGCTGTGGGGAGAATGGGGCTCTCTCTGCTAATTCTGATCTTTAACTCCGGGCTCCAAGGGACCCCTAAGGGCAGGTCGGGAAGAGTACCACCAGGGCACGGGACGAGCCAGCCGGCCTCACAGGTGAAGGACCCGAGGCCGAGGCCGCCGCTGTCCACCGCACGCCTCGGTATGTTCAGGCCTGACCCGGAGACGGGCCTGGGGTGGAGTCCTGCAGGGCTCATCATTTCAGTTCAACAAGCACTTTCTGAACGCCTGGCCCCAGTGCTGGAAACAGCCCTCCACACGCTCCGTGGAGGTGGCAGGTGCCGTGACAGGAGGCCAGCCCGACCCCCGGCCCCAAGAAAAGAGGAGCCCGGAGAGACTCCCCAGAGCCAAGTCTTGCCTCAGCTGGGCCCCAAGGGTGAGGAGACCTCAGCCCCATGAAACGGCAGACCCGGGGTCCAGCCTTCAGGAAACGGGGGGCCGGTCGGCTCTGTGGGAAGGCAGTCCGGGGCACAGCCTTCATGGCTCAGCTTAAAGACAGTCCCATGGGCCAGCAGGCCCCTGGGCAGTGCAAACGGTGTGTGGCAACTAGCGGAAAGGTTGGCAGACCGAACGCGCTCGGGAGCTCTGCGAAAGAAAGCCCTGGCCACTGCTTCTGTGATCACAGCCAAGCTAAGGACCCTGTGGAACCTGGCTCTCGTCTGGGACACACAGGGTCCCCAGGATGGGAAGGGTTTGGGGCTGTTTCTGTTTTATGGTCCAGTTTCATGGGATCCAAGAAGCCAAGGACCCTGAGACAGGAGCCTGGGTTTGCCGGGGTGCTGAGGAAAGCCCAAGAAGACAGGAGATGTCACAGGCAGGAGAGGGGTCCCTCGGAGGCCCAGGAAAGTCAGAGCGACCCTTGCCAGAAAGGGACTGTGGAGGATGCTCAGGGTGTGGGGCGAGGCGTGGCGGGAGGGACAGCGGTGAAGCGCACAGGACACAAGGCTTCGCTGGTAACATAAGGACCCACTGCAGGCAGCAATTACTGGGGTGTGTACGCTGTGTAACAATGAGGCCGACACACAGTTTCAGATCAGAGCAAACGCAGCAGCCTTCTCCTGAATTCTGTGCAGAGGAAAGAGACGAGCTGGCCTGGGTGGCTCGGGTGGCAGGAGTGAGACTCTCCCGGCCTGCAGCCCCACGAGCCCCACCCACGCAGACAAGGACGGCTGCTAACAAGGAGACC